AGGTTATGAGACTAATAGGCATAATGATGTGTTAAAACAAACATAAAAATAGATAACCTGTTGAAATATCGAGATGGCACGAATTAGGTAGCAAAGCTATTCAAGCAGGCCTCCTTATCATTTCATCTGACTGGAATGTTTCACAATATGTAAAACGTGTGGTGGGAGAGATGAATTAATAAATGTATTTCAACAAGCTGACCTATAATGCGCACGAATGGTTCATCAAACTTCTAGGTAATTAATATTTATCTAGTCAAGAGAAGTAAGTGAGTAGGCTTCAGCTTGCACTTAATCAAACATACTCATTTACACAAGCTTAATGATATGTGTAAAATATGTAATGAAATTATTATGGACTAAAATAACACTTAATCTACCAAATGGATTAAATCAAAGTCTTACATGATTTGAACATATACAAGCCTAAATGAGGATAAGGCTACTATACACCTCATTTGACCATTTGGCCATTAGTCCATCCCCACTTTCTGAGTTCCTAGTACACCTATAGTTACTTAACTCATGATCAAGTTTCCAAGTTTTGATTTTTTTATCTATACTAAGTTTAGTGACTTTCTACATCTGAAATTGACTCTAGGTAGAGACTATTTAGACAATTTATAAAAGAATCATTTTTCCTGTCCTCTAGCTACTGTTTATTATGTTATTTATCTCTCTCTTTTTTTCTCTTTAATAGACTGTATTGATTTCTTCGATTTGTATACTAACGGCGTTAATTTACATTTCGGAAACAGATGGAATTATTCATACCGAATAGCCCACATGTTCTGACATTGGCCTAACTAAGACTCTGTATTCAACAGCCTAAGAATTAGCTTATCATTACATCTGTGAGTAATGGCCTTCAACACTTGCACTAATGATTCGTTTTCGTAAGCATCAGCTGAATGCCCCCATTTATTTACATACAATCACTGACGTGTTTATATCAAAGTTTGTCTAATCTAGTAAACGTTTAATTTAATAAATAATTATAATCAGTATAGTAATTTCAGACAACAATAAGAAGGAATAAGAGATCAAACTTTTAGTGTCACGGTCCATATACATAAATCTTGAGGAGACCAACTGAAGTTGAAATAAATTGAATTGTTTCACAGTTCACAATTTTCCTTATTTTCTGTTGTCTAACACATTAAACACATAAATATTGTATATGCATCACTGGTTAGCAGTGACGAGTACTTTAAGTAATAATGACCATTTACAAGTCAATAAAAATGTAAAAATACATAAACAAATATCTAGAAAAATATGAAAACAAGGTTTAGTGATGTGCTCAATCACTTTGGCCTTTTTCATCAAAGAAATATGGAGTATTATTATTACTATTATTAGTGGCATTATTCAATATTGTATTTTTGGTACAGAATAGAATTCACAGCACAAATATTTCAACAAGTTTCCGTTTCTTATTTCTTGATTGATCCTTGCGACAAATACAGAGTGGTAGCCAAACAGATGTTTGAAGCTCGGGAATCGTCACCTGAATAATGTATATTCTTTACAATGAATATTGCCAGCAACCACGACGTCTCTGACCGAGTTGTTTTATAACTTGTACAGCGAAATGTCGGAAACTTTACACAAACACACGTGAATAGGTTATGAGACTAATAGGCATAATGATGTGTTAAAACAAACATAAAAATAGATAACCTGTTGAAATATCGAGATGGCACGAATTAGGTAGCAAAGCTATTCAAGCAGGCCTCCTTATCATTTCATCTGACTGGAATGTTTCACAATATGTAAAACGTGTTTATGAATTATTAAAACGTTATAATAAACACCGGAATATAATTATTTGTGTATTTGTACGGTCGAAGAAAGTGTCACTTGAATGAGTCCGTGAAGTTTGTAACTTGTGATTCAATCCAGATATCAAAGTAGGTTAGCATTGACTTGGTGGACATAACCTATTCTTCTGCTGACATGTTCACACCACTCAATCTAGTACATGCTAATATTGGCCTAACAGTCTGAGTTACGTTTGGAGTTGCACAATAACCGATTGGTGACATGGTCAAAATTCGGTCTCAGTAGTAAGGTTGAATTTATTCTTAATATATTTTGAAATCCTTAGATGAGTATCATTTCATGCTTGTAATTCTTGAATCTATTCTTGTGCAATAACATTTCCGACTGATCTAATATTCCCCATCCAACGTTCATTATTCCGTTGATTTCCTATCACTGTGCTTATCTAAGCTGTTGCAACATTGGTTGACTCTCATTCATGCGACTTTCTACGTCAATGATCACCGAATTACTAGCTTGAATTTCACACTAAGAAGACGTGAAGCATAAAGTGTGAGGGTCATGAATGTTTAATTAATAATGAGTAGTTTGTTAAATATTATCTAATAAAAGTTGATTGAGTGGTAATCTGTGTGCATCACTGATTCGCCATTAGTATCGTGATTATTAAATTCAGTAATGCTAGTGTTGCTCTTAATTTTGTTAAAATCGGTTGACGGTTACTCATATTGTCACGTTTGCCTTATCATTTTACATTATGTTATGTATCTCAATCGAAGCTATTGTATTAAAAACCCAAACTGATGGATGGTACTTGAATGATATTTCAGATCCCAACAAAATCACCAACATTTCATCTTATTTAAAGTAAGCATCCATGTAATCCCGTGGAAGTATGTCACTTAATTAAACATCACTGATCAGCCTCAAGTAATAGAAAAACAGAACTACTAGTGCTGAACATCATACTTGCAAAGAGAACACAGGTCCTTTGATTTATTCATTTTACATTAAAGAAAATTCTTATGATTTTTGGAGATTTTTGTTTTGCTTGATAAAAACTCAGTGTTTACTTCCATTTTGATAACAGGTTGAGTTTGAGTAAGACTATTTCGTTTATACAAATAAATTGTTTTGTTCATGGAAAACTTTATTCCAACAAAAGATAAAATAAATTTGCCTTGGCAATAAAAGTACAAATACAACTGTTTCAAGCGAACTATAATCAATTTAAAATGTATTCCAATATACAGTATATACAATTGAGGAATTCTTTCTGATCATGTGTATTCACTTACATTTGTTATTTTAGTCTGGTCAATTAAGTATTATCATTAGCTCTAACTTATTCAGCATAACTCAGAACATGTGTTGGTTGCTAACTAATCAACTATTAAGCTTAGTGATTCTCACTTTATTTTGTAAGATACCTATACAAGTAATATTGTGCTTGCGCTATTGTTTTATTTGATTTTCATTTCGACACTGTCCTGTATACTTTGTGACATCAGGTAAAGCATAAGATTAGGCTTTGAAGTAAGAAACTCCGTAGTCTAATTGTAATCAATATAATCTGTACTGATATACATTCAATTTATTAGCAATGTTCGGGTAACCATTGAATAACGATCGGATTCAGTCAAATGTCATTGGATTGTTTGGTTCAAGAACAAATTAATTTAAGGTAAGGAACCTAATTCATAACGTTTATCTTTGTAGGTGTACAAATCATTGTTTTGTTTAATTTCAACGATAAATGAATATATTTTGCTTGATATCATAGTAAAGCACAATTATTTCAATGAAGAATGTTCTTTTCAATAATTTCTTATCAGGCCCTACAATTATATATCCAAATTAATAACCCATAAAATTGGTCAGATTTAGTGCAGAGTACACCATTTAAAATCATACCATGTGAATTAAGGATTGTTTGGAATAGAAAATAAAGTCAAATCGTTAATGTTTAGGTGACTAATATGAAGTGTTAGCTTGAATCAGTTTATAAGTGAAATGAAATTGTGAGATAAGTGATCGGAATAAATATGGTGAACATGGGATGAGAGAGATAATCATGTAATTACAAAACAGAAATTGTGTAATATGTAGAATAATATGAATCAGGCACGAATTAGTGGATAGTGATGGATGCTGAATAAATTTCTCAAAATCAGTAGCAAGTATTTCGGGTAGAACTAACTAGATATAACTATGTCAAGACAACAATGCAGTGTTCCACCAATCGAATCACTCTTGACGGAGAAGATTTGGAGGATGTAAAAACCGTTACATATCTGGGCAGCATGATTGACGAAAACGGTGGATCTGATACAGATGTGAAGGTGCGGATCGGCAAAGCAAGAGCAGCATCTCTACAATTGAGGAACATGTGAAACTCGAAATGATAGTCAACTAACAACAAGGTCAGAATTTTCAATATAAATGTCGAGACAGTTCTACTGTATGGGATGGAAACGTGGAGAACCATGGAAGCCGTCACCCACAAGATACAGGTGTTTATCAACAATTGTCTACGAGAAGTACTTCGGATCCGTTGGCCAAACACTCAGCAACATCAACCTACTGTGGGAGAGCACAAACCGGATCTCAGCGGAGTGGGAAATCAGAAAGAAGCGCTGGAAGTGGATAGGACACGCGTTGAGGAAAGCACCCAATTGTGTCACAAGACAAGCACTCACATGGAATCCTCAATGCTAAAGAAGGAGAGGAAGACCAAAGAACACATTACGCAGAGAAGTGGAGATAGACATGAGAAGAATGAACAAAAATTGAATAGAACTGGAAATGATGGCCCAGAACATAGTGGGTTGTAGAATGCTGATCAGCCACCTGTGCTCAATTGAGAGTAACAAACGTAAGTACGTAAGTAGCTGTGAAATGACGAATGGAATAAATTTAAGTGATATTGATTTTGTTACATAACTCTTGCGTAATTAAACATTTTTCTTTCTTTTAATTTATCAGATTCAAGTTAATATATCCATTAAAAGATAATTAAAACAATTTTCATTTGTTTATTATTTATACTGATTTCAATTTAGGCCAATGAAATAAATCCTCCTTCTTTTTTTTGTTTTAATTATCAAATAATAAACAAATTCTTCCTTATAAACTTGAATAAAACTTTTTTTCCTTCATTTTATTCGTTTAACATGAAATCTCTATTCATTATTTTGTTTATATTGTATTATGTCATGAAGAAATATTCTTATTGTTCATCAATGATTTCTTCATATTCTTCAAATCCTACTGAAATAAGTATAAGTCATAATTTTACAATTGTAAATAAAACAAATAATTTTTGTAAAGCAAATCAATTATGTTCGGATTATGGGAAAACAATCAATCGAATTTCTAATCTTATTGGACAAAATTTTATGTTTGCTATAAGATATTCCCCAAATCATTCATTTTGGATTAACATGAATCAAATGAATATTTCACAAATAGAGAATTGGATAGATGAACATTCTAAATCATATTTTATGAATGAATCCGAATCAAATTTCCCTTCTTATAAAAATCAAACTATGTATGATGGTAAATATACTGCATATTATAATCATTTAGATCATAAATTACAAACTACTTTATTAAATAGAACTGATGAAATTGATGTAATTTGTGAAATAGAAAAAAATACAAATCATGATCAAAATCATTTTATTCAACTAAAACAATTTCAAAAGTGTTTGAATGTAAATACTGAAGTGTTATTTTCACCAAATAAAGATTTTGATGGCTGTTATTCACAAAATATTGTGTCAAGTTTACAATATTGTGCTTACAGGTTAGTTTGAAAATTTCTATCTGTTGAATCATTTCATTCTTAAATTATTGATTATCAAACTAGCAGTTATATTTTCTGAGAAAAATAATATTCCCTCTATCTGCTGAAGCAGATATTCTAAACTCAATTAGCAGAAAAGTGATAGTCATTATTATTTCAAATTTTTTGATTATGAAATTAATTATTGCCAGGATAGTGTTCCTGTTTAATGAAGGTTTCAATACAAAAACAATAATTATCGAACGTAGATAAAAGGCTAATTTCTTTATGCTTAAGTAGTAGTGCATACAGAGATTTATAAATTACATCCTGAGAATGTGTTAAATTACTCCACAAAATATCATTATAAACTTGGTAAAAATCGAATTATAATTGTACAATTGATTGATAAATGGGGTATAACCAATATCATGTGTGTTAGGTCTTTTTTAGTGCAGATCAAATTCTATCAACCAAGTTGCGATATGTCCAGTAGTCTAGGTGACCCAACATCGCGTGCATTATGCTGAGATGTAAGCTGGTGGTTAAAGATAGTCTTATAATTGCATTATTGTGACTAGTTCAGTTATACACAGTGATGATAATGTTGCTGCTAATTCTCACTGATCAAGCTTAGAAATCTGTAATTTGTAATTACAGTTAGTCAAACTCCAAAACCTGACACATTTAACCAACTCAGCATATGCTGAAGACATTAAACACATCAAATTGAGAACACATGGAAGTGAAACGGATTGATGTGATAACATCCATTATACGGTAGATGAAGAACATTGAAGTCAGAAATAGAAAGCTGTGGTGTTGATAAATCTTCTAACCGGACGCTTGAATCGGTTTCCAAACCTCTTCTAATAACCCCAGGCTAAATCTACACGACATGAATACGAGTGAAAAGGCACGAAATGTGGAAAGAGCACTTTACTCTAATGTTAGTTTATCTACAGAAAATTGAAAGTATTTATACCATTCCAGAGGGCCTCGAATTTCTGAAAGATTCTGGAACCCTACTAAACTCAGTAGCAGGATAGGTAATTAAACCAATCGACAAAGTGACAGGTGGCTCTTCACTTACTAGATGTTTCTGAAAATCTTATATCTAATTCTAATTGGATAAAATGTTACCCGGAGTTTTCAGGGACCCTCTGAACTTTTTTGATGAATACTCTGGATCTTCCAAATAAGTATGTATGATAAATTGCTTTTAGTAGTGTTTTACTCAATTTTCCACTCTACGTCAACTTCATTGACTACGAAAAGGCATTTGATAGCGTGGACAGAACAACACTATGGAAGCTTCTTCGACACTACAGCGTGCCTCAGAAGATAGTCAATATCATACAGAACTCATATGATGGATTACACTGCAAAATCGGGCATGGAGGACAGTTGACAAAGTCGTTCAAAGTGAAGACCGGTGTTAGGCAAGGTTGCTTACTCTCACCCTTTCTCTTTCTCCTGGTGATCGACTGGATCATGAAGACATCAACATCTGAAAGGAAGAACGAGACACAGTGGACATCTCGGATGCAGTTGGACGATCTAGACTTCGCAGATGATCTGGCCCTTTTATCCCAAACGCAACAACAAATGCAGGAGAAGACGACCAATGTAGCAGCAGCTTCAGCAGCAGTAGTAGGTCTCAATATACACAAAGGGAAAAGCAAGATTCTCCGATACAACACAACACACACCAATCAAATTACACTTGACGGAGAAGATATGGAAGATGTAAAAACCGTTACATATCTGGACAGCATGATTCATGAACACGGTAGATCTGATACAGATGTGAAGGTGCGGATCGGCAAAGCAAGAGCAGCATCTCCACAGTTGAGGAACATGTGAAACTCGAAATAATAGTCAACTAACACCAAGGTCAGAATTTTCAATACAAATTTCAAGACAGTTCTACTGTATGAGGTGGAAACGTGGAGAGCCATAGAAGCCGTCACCCACAAGATACAGGTGTTTATCAACAATTGTCTACGAGAAGTACTTCGGATCCGTTGGCCAAACACTCAGTAACATCAACCTACTGTGGGAGAGCACAAACCGGATCTCAGCGGAGTAGGAAATCAGAAAGAAGCGCTGGAAGTGGATAGGACACGCATTGAGGAAAGCACCCAATTGTGTCGCAAGACAAGCACTCACATGGAATCCTCAATGCTAAAGAAGGAGAGGAAGACCAAAGAACACATTACGCAGAGAAGTGGAGATAGACATGAGAAGAATGAACAAAAATTGAATAGAACTGGAAATGATGGCCCAGAACATATTGGGTTGTAGAATGCTGGTCAGCGACCTATGCTCCATTGGGAGTAACAGGCGTAAGTAAGTAAGTTACTCAATTTTCCAGGGAATATTTTGATTCGGGAAATAGACGTTTTATACTTCAAGAAAACTTTATGAGAGGGATATTTGCTCAAAGTATTCACGGTGCTTCGAATATTTATTAGTGACATTAAAGATGAACTGAATTATGCATATTCACTAACAATGAAGGAATGACAATTTTTCTCATATGAAAATATAGAAAAAATTGCTGAAACTATAATCTTAATCCATCTTGCATATAACTCGTACAATATTAGAGTTAATACCACCTAATTTGCGATATATAACCTATGATAGGGAATACTTCAATAAGGAAGTTAATTCTTATTTAAAAAAACTATTTGCCATGTCTTGATAGAAAAATTCAGAATTATCTCAACACTTTAATTCTCAAATTCACTTGGTATTATTTCGCTTGTATCTTCCCATTGAGTTTTAAGACTGTAATTGGTCAGTCTGTTATTGCCATTTGTGCATACTATGCGTATGCCTCGATATTGCCTTAATTCACAAGCTTTTTGTAAGCAATGATGGATAGTGGGTAGCAGTGGAATCCAGGAAGCGCGTTTCGTCCTATTTGAGACTCGTCACCTTTAATTCTCACTTTATATTTACTTTAAACATTCACATATGAATGGCTACTTCTTTTAAAATATTATTCATTGGTTATGAATGGAGTGAATGATAAGAATCCAAGAAAGCTAAATTAAACATAGACAGCCTAATTGATTTCATTTTCAAAAGTTTAAAATTATTTCACCTACTTACTACTAAGTAGTATGTAGATTTTCGTATTAAATTCAATGAATCAAGTAAAGTTGTTTTGTTTTTTTTTCATTTTAGTTGTGCAACGGATGAATACTGTACACGTTTCTATTATAATAATTTAACAAAGGATTGCATTATTACACAATATATCGTATCTCTAATTCCAACTTATGCAAATAGAACAAACGGATGGGATTGTTATTCATTGAATGTTAATAAATAAGAATTGGTCTGTTTATTTCAAGAATCATATAATATTTCTTGAATATACATAGCATTTGATGAATTACACTTAGTAACAAGATTATACTGTAATTTCCAATGACATTTTTAAGACATTCCAATGATTATCCTGATCAATATTTAAATGACTAACTAATGTGTTTACGAATTTTCTGAAAATATGTAGCATTTAATAAATAAAATTAAAAAAACAAAAAAAGAAACATGAACATTTCATGTTGGTTAAAGTTATAAATGATATTACCATTTGTACATTTTATCGGCACAAATAATCAATAACAAAGTGAGAAGTTTAATACTTTCAATAGTAAACGAATGATTCAAATCTAATAAGCGAATGATTTAACCCGTTCAAAAATCTATAGAGTTTTAGTTTATTGAAATCTATCAACAGAAAATCATACAATTAAATCTTATTCATATTAATGTACATTGAAAAGTCCATTTGAAACTTAATTAATTAAACATAAGATTACAATAAGTTAGTTTCATTTAAAGTTGATTTCTCTCTGATTATGGACTACTAGAATTTTGTAATAATTTAGCCATGTAGTTATATGCTAGACACTATTCATGATGAATTAAAACATAATTTGATTATAGAGTAAATTAATCAGTTTTATTCACTGACGAATTGTTAGGATGGCCTAAGGGTGAAGTCGACGAAACTTTGCATCGAATCACTTTTTGAAAGAACATCCGAGAATCTCGGTGTGTAGATTCCCTATTGGACAAATGCTAAAGATCACTGTATGCGGATTGGATGACTATGATGATGATTTTGGTTTTACTAAAAACTATAAATACCTGAGAGTTTTATATCATATTTGACACTGATTAGAATAGGATTCCTTCTCATTGGCGACTTGGAGGGTTCTAGCGTTTGAGTGCTCATGTTGTACGCGGTATATCAAGACTCTAAGCTCCAGAGATAACATAAATAATATAAAAATATTTAAAATATATCTTCTTTGGTTTTTATATTGAAAGTATCAATGAACATTAGAAATTTAATTTTAAAATTTCTTGATCCATACGTCAAACAAAAAGTAGTACTGTGCATTTTTTGTTTTCCTTCAAGTTATATACGTGTTTTGTGTCACTAGTTCGTAGTTTTGTTCAGAAACCCATCAGTATGAATTAAAATAATAAAGTTATGTAAACACAAAACTGGAAGTACAATTTAATTGTTATAACTTGTGACCGGTGCGGCCTGTTAATGTATACGTATTGATACCACCAATTAGAGAGCAGTGAAATATCGATCGGACCAATGACGCCTAAAACCCGTACGAGCAGTCTAGAGTCCTGCTTTCCGCCTAGCTCAGCCAGTTATGTCCAAAACACCAATCCGAGCCTCTGCGATATGAATCATTTATTTCAAACATACTAGCTTTATATACCAACCAGACAGACCACACCGTACCATAAAGTATGAAACAACATTTGTGCACGAGTTAGCCAAATGTGACTGTAAATAAGGAGGTAGTGATTAATAGACAGGGAATAATTCAAGAATGGTGAATCGTATAATAATAGTTCGTAGGTCATCATAAAGCTCATAATAAGAGAGACATGAATATGTATAGTTTAGTTACATAACAATTATACGATAAAATATATGTATAGTATTGGTCCACTAATGGATCCCAAAGTTACCATTCATTATGCTTATCGGGACATAACATTAACATCCCGACATATCATAGATTCATGTGTCGTTTAAAATTTTTATAAACTGGAAATTTGAACGATTCAATCAACTACTGACAATAAGAGTTAGTAAATAGGTGTGAAATATTTTTCTCAGTTATGTTAATTTATATAAATTTTAATGAAAATCTGATATAACTTAAAAGTATTGAACCTTATCCATGTGTTGTAACTTCTTGATCCATTATTATTTTGTCGAGGATGTTAGATCCCTAGAACTCACTTGGAGAAGATCCTAATTTTGTAATTTTATTCTGGAAATTTGAATTTTATGTTTTCACACCAAGAAACGCTTAGTTGACATACAGCTTACACTTCGCACTCGGAAATCCTTGGCTGTCATTGGTTGATGGAATATTTATTATTACGCTATTTTGTGTCTCTCCCAAGGGTGTTTCTATCTTTGTATAAATAAGCTTGATTTGTATGCTTAGTGACCTCGTATTTTCTGGGTGCTTGTAGAATACATTCTCTACGCCTCATCAAGACTTATTGGTCTAGTTAGGAGGGCCGAGGACAACGGATTAGAATAGCCTGTCGTGTCACTGTATCTTTGACCTTCGTTCCGTTAACCGAGTAAGGTGAACCCGTAATAGTATCTAAGCATATCATATTTATTTATTGATAAAACAATTACGACAGCGATTTGAAGGTTATGACTTAATAAACAAAACATTTGTAAATGATTTTAGTTGTGTTTAATCACACATTTTCAGAAAAATGTTTATGTGGCACAGTTATGACAATAGTTTACCAAAATAACGATGACCTGTTTGTTAATATGTACCGAATATTAACTACTCAAGTATTTATCTAAAGAGTAAATAAAAATTTGACATCAATTCAAATAGGGTTGCGCATAATAAACAGAATGGTGATAATGCACATTATTCGTAGATTGGATCATTTAATGATAATCATTAGAATACATTGAAAACTACTGACATTATATAAATCCGATATCAGTCTTGTTCCAAATTCTCTGAAGTGTTTTATTTGGTAAATGAAATCCAGTGTACATCTGTCTTCAAAATCTCGATTGTTCCTGCTGCTTCACAACAGACCGTCTCTTATTTCTACCTTAATTTATCATTGTCATACCCCAGTCATTTGTTAAAAGATAGGCACCATGAGATTGCAAAAGTAACTCTATATCCCCATTCTACTCATGACATATCATTTGATCATATAAGCGTATAGACTTAAAATACTAAAAACTAACAGTTGATACTCTTTAGTACAAATATATCATCGCCTAGTTAATACAATTTATATTTTTAAATTAAGAAGTTTCATAAATACTTCAATGTTTAACAACTTATCATTCACTATTCGATATTAATTTATTACCAACTGGCATACATATAGCAACAATACACAGATAACACTAATTTACTATTCATATTAATGAGAATCTAGCTAGATACTGTGTATTATTGTCCCATACTCAACAAAGATGTCATTAATTACCATTTCATCAACGTAGCAAAATGTAGCTGAAGTGACGACTAGATTGTTGGATAAATCATGCAACTGGTGAAATCTCTTGATCTTGAGATAAGGATTAGATACTGAAGTCAGTAAAACAACTGAATGAACATTAGAGTACTTTCATCAAAATCCAGAGATTGGTATTTTTATTGAGCTTCAGATATCACTATCATTTTGACTACACTTTAAACATAATATAATTTTCTCTAATTTACTTTCATTCATAAACTCGTCAGCCAATTATTACTGGATTACTGTGGCCAACAAAGCCATCGAGCTTGATATGACGTATTCATTGAGCGCTTAGTCGCAGATCGCAATAAAGAGAAACAAACTGAAAGGTTTTAAGTCCAACATTATAATGTAAATGTTCAAACTCACCATTCAATATCATAATTTACAGCTGCAAAAATTCTCTAGTTACGAGTAATTATTCAATCACTAGCTTGTGAACATCGTTTGCCTTGAAAATTGTTTATGCAGTTCTAAATTTGAATATGAAAGCTTTTATTTCTTTAATTCATGTGGCATTCCCATTATTTCATTTTGAGCGAGACATCTTTGACTATGGATCACATTCAGCTTAACATTACTAATGTTACAGTCTGAGGGTCGGTTCAGTCAGTATCCACGCATCTAAGTCTTTGCAAACAGGATTGGCAGAAAAAATGGGTGAAACTACGTAGGGCGCTATATTCTGAAAAGCAGAATTGAACTACTAACAACTTATTTGTGACTATAGGTGACCAGATTGATGTTTGGTTTCGTACGATAACATACCAAACGAATTTTAACTGGATGTTATTTTATGATGTGCCTAAAAATAAATTGTGCTCGAAATATGGTTCACCAAACAACTATATTTCAACATTTGTCATAAGCATACTACTATCCCAGTAAATATTTAAGATGAATTTAAGACTAAGGTAGAATAATACCTGCTTTCTAAAAGGTATTGTGGAGCCTTTAAAAAAATCAAATTGTAAGTTGAAAGTTTATTATGTGTATCAGCATAATTTTACAGCACTAGAAACATCCTATATATTTTTTAAACAGACTGATAACCGTGTTATCAGTTATTTTCCTAAATATACTAGACCGCATTAATTCGTTATTCAAATAAGTGAACTGGGTAAAAAATACGTGTTTCACTATTTGTATAACTAGAATACGACGGAAAGCATATGCGAATTCCTTCGAAATGGTTTCTACAGTACTTACTTGACCTTAAAACTTAACAGATTAAATAACCAGTGAGATAAAGTGTAAGTTCAGGGACGTGGAGAATTTATATAAGTGGGTAAAAACTAGAACTTGCAGTTGGACTGTCAAATTCGGTGGATTGGAAGCTCCAGATTCCGGTGGCAGTTATTAACAAGGTGGAGAGAACAGATGTTTCCTCCTAGGTTTAGAATAGTATTATTCGTCCCTTCTGTTATAAAACAAATCTTCGAGTTATTTAGGTAGACTTATATTTTATAGAAAAAGTACTATCGAACACAAAGTTACATTTTATAATTGGGATGACATTGCATCACTTGACTAATATACTTCGCTTAGTCTTCAATAATAAAATACCATACTACCGGTTGAATTAAGCGATTTCTCGGGACATCAGTAATGTAGAACATAATTCCCATTTATCAACGAACAAATATCATACGGTAAATGATTACGCCAAATAATAGAAAATAAATGAAAGATAATTTGGAAGTGATCCTTCAACTAATACGTCAGAAATGATTGCTCACGATTTCACAATATCAATATCTACGACCAATGAGATGAACTGCACTATCAATAAAGGTATATACTATGGAATGGTATTGAAAACATAACAAAAGCCATCATCAATTACAAAATGTCTATGAACAGATTATAATGAAGAGATGCAACGGTAATAAATATGATTTAAAACTTGGCATTTTCCAATAAATCAGAAAACAAAACAAAATAGTTTTATTAAACAAATAGTAGGCCAGAATTTATAAAAAATCTCAGTGTATATGTGGTCTTCACATATTGCTTCTTTAAAATGACTTTAAATTTCATCAGGTTTTCAAACAGATTATCCAACAACAATAAAATAATATGAAATTTCAAAAATCTCAACTATCCATTCGCGACCTTTATCTCTTATAGAATTAATGCAAAAAACGATTGACAAAAATTAACACTTTTGTAAAGGACAGTGTTTCGTATATTGATAACAACGGAAAAGATATATTCTATGATTGATGATGTAGACGAAATATTACATTGAAAGTTCACTAGAAAAATCGTACACCGAAACCTTATTAATTAAATATTTAGAAGCCTTTTATGTGGCTATAAATAACACCATACCAAGTCTCCTACAAGGGATAAGTTAAATAAATTAATTGATTCATATACATTGTGTTGTTTGAAGAAATCAATCAGAATTCTCGTATGAAATGGGTAGAAATAGAAAATCATAGTTGAAATATTCTAAAATAAAGTATAGGAATTATGATTTTCAGTAGGATTTGTCACATTTTTCTCTATGGTCAACAATTAATATTGATGAACTTTCTTCGAATATCTCCAAGTTAAAGAAAATATTTCATAGTGAATAGTCAGATTATTTGATGAAAGTACACGATTTGTTTTACTTCAGGCTCTTGAAATAGAAAATACTCAAATCTGTGTTATGTTCACTACTGAAAATTCAATTAGTCATCCGTTAATTCAAACAATCAAACTAATAAATTACGAGTCTTTTTCTTATTTAGTGGAAAATTATTAGCAGAACACTTTATATTTCCCTTGAACAACTAGCCGAGCATCAACTTTATGAATTTGAATGCTTTGGTACTGCTACTACACCAAATAATACATTTTTCTCAAAAACCAAACAAGGATTTAAATACTTTATTATAATTAGAATACAATTTTTATCAGAAATACCCATCTCTTTAAAAGTATTATTGTCAGATATTTGGGGTCTCATTGTTGCTCACATGTTTACATAGTTCAGTAGAATTAACGATAGATGATAAGATGAACAAAGGAATATCAAATGTCTCGTCATTCAAAAGAACCAGATCGTATAATGAACTGAATAATTCCACTTTCTCGTCATTCTGTGAACACAAATAAATAGTAAATTGAATAATCCATAATATACAAAGAATGGATTGAAAAAAATTAGTCATTCACATCGAATACATTAAATAAATTAAAATTTTATTCTTTAGTTTAAAGAGATATGTGCATTCTAAGGTAATGGTTTACCAACATCAGGAAGCCCGAATAGTTATATTTTCGACTCAGTCCAATTACAGTATATATATATCATAGTAAACTCTGCCAATTACTAGTGACTAATTTACATGGAGTGAATGCTTTATTTTGAAATGTGTAAAGGGCACTACCGCTTAACGAACTAAAAGCACATTCAACGGAAGAGTTCTATATGGAATATAATGCTTTTAATTACAAACACTATTACCATAAATAACAATAGGAGTCTATGTGAACTCTAACTCAAAATCGACACGACAACAAGACATAAAATCCATGCTACGCTTTTGAATTAACGTATTGTTAACACTGTGATAGATCCAACTCTTCGCCCTACGCTCTGCATATCTGGTTGAATAAGTATTAGGAAACGTGTACTAGTCACTGAACTACACTGTTAGAACACAAAACAATATTCAGTCTTATAATGAAAATAAATTAAATAGATAGTGACAACAAAGAGTTCTCATAATCAATATTTTATGTAATAGACAAATTAGAAATCCTGCGTTCCCAAAATATTTGTTCATAATAAGACGACCAAATTGTTAAGTGACAAACTTACTTGATTAAAAAGCAACATATAAAGGTTTGTGAGTTTTAAAGAACAATGCCGATAACAGTATCAAGAACCTTCTTAGTATAAATGACTTACACCACGATAATATCAGCGCAAAAATCAGTAATAATTGATAAGTACAAGTTTGTCACATATCATGCGACAGTAAGAGGTAGGTATTAACCTCCTTAAATTCAAGTGCTTCAATCGTTGAGCCATATGTCTTCAAATGAGAAATAATGTAACTACTATAAAAATATCTCCAAAGTAAACTATAAATGCTTACCACACTGTAATAACAATAACTATTTTATCAAAGGCTGTTTTAAAAAGTCAAAAAGAATTAAACATGACTTGAACACACTATGTTACACAAGATAGAATTCTTTCGCATATTCTGGTTATATTTACACCTTCTTAACCATTGAATACAAATTAGAAAGTCACTTGAGTAACATCAGGATTATTAGTTAATTTTATTGAATTTAAATATATAGAGAGATTAATTTCAAGTTAATATTTCATTTTTATTTTCATTATTTTATGAGCCTTGAGTAAAAACACCTCACCTGAAAGTAATGAGTCTCTATTCATGTTTGATTTAACACCAGATTAGTCAAAAACTGAACATTGTTTTAACTACAGTCTCGAATCATCAATACAATGTATCAGTGGAACATATCTCAAATTACTGAAGTTTTGAAGATATCTTACATATGAACTTCAACAATCCTATGAAATTAAGTCAAACGTTTTTTTTACTACTTCTCTCAAATTATAGATACAGATAGTTTTAATATCAATAGCTGAAATCCACGTTCACAAGAAACTTACAAAAGAATAGATTCCATTTGTAAAAGGATATTGAGCCTAAAAATACTTACTTTTTCATTTAAAAATCCTATACGAATAACTATAACTTGTTCATAAGAAAACTTTTCCCCATCATCAATCATCTTTGCATCATTAGTTGAGTCACCAATAAGCAGAATGCAAATTCTTTTCGACAGAATGGTTTCAAAATATTCAGAATTTTGTATTACATTATACATTTTATTAAGAGAATGAATAACAGGATCTTGAAATCCAACCAAACGACCCTAAAACAATACATTTACAGGTATCTTAACATTAAAAGACGATGTGATTCATAGAGACTAAAATATATAAATTATTAAATAGTAAAAGAGGATATCAAAACGACAATGCTACTTTAAAACTATGCTGGAAAAAAAGGTTCCTGTACAGTTTATAAAAATAAGGATTGAATCGCTAGTATGAAAAGAGACAAATTTTGAATCAACGATGTATTAGGGATCTAAAACCCCGTAGAAATTGTAACTATAAGAAAAGTTTGTTATAATCACAACACTTACTGTTGTTTGTAACTATAACATCACTCCATTAACATGGTCGTGTACATAAAAGTTACAATGATGTACAGTTTAAGTACAAGAGTAATAAATCATCATTTTTGAAAACAATTACTATGTAAACAAAGTTTAAAACATGTCTGTTAACAAGAAAAGTTGTGGTTTAAAAACGTCAAGATATCCGAGGCAAGAATTCCTACTTGCTAGCTACACTTGTTAATTAGATAACAGTACTTTATGACGAGTTCAAATCTACAAACTGGATATTACTAAGACAGCAAGGTATGGTAAAACCTAACTTGTTTTACTGCAGTGGGTCAAATGGACTAGACCTCTAATAAATGTAACGGATTCAGAAAATCAGGGTAGGAGCTACGCTTCAAATGTGAGAGTTAATGATCCTGCCCAGTTTCTCAAAGCGGCATTGGTGTGGTGGCTTTCGAGCCTGGAAATTTCAGCTGTTACTGAAGGAGTCTAATTTAGTGCTCTTTTTTCTACAGATGTAGGATGTATTTATTATTTATTTAAACACATAAACATAGGTACAAGAAGACACCAAATAGATATGCGCCACACAAATCATTCGATTTACGTGAGGGCTAGGATAATGTCCAGATGCCCAAACCGAAGCAGGTGGTTTTTTAGGGGGCCACACCCGGAGGCTTCGACCTAAAGGTCTAATCCACAAGGTAGTGGAGCAACGTAAGGAGATGCAGTCGCATAGTAGTCGGTGACCAACGACTGGTTCATACGCTATTTGTTCCCTTAGGATACTGAAGCTCATGTGCACCAATGGTTTGGAATCAGGGTTTTCCAACTCCTATAGGTGAACCCTCCGTGTCCACCAACCCGGTTAAAGCGCCAGATACTCACTCTTCGTCCTCTTAATTTCGTAAACAATACCCCCGCCGCGAGAAGGCAGTGAGTAGGACTTTACTGGCAGTGGTTGTATGCACGTGGCTATGTGAGAGCATTTCGGCCGTACCAGGGCATTTGGGGGCAGATGTGGGATGTGATTGTTATTGTTGAATAAGATAAAGAACTCTAACCAATCCTAGGTAATCAAGTCCAACTGTTTACAGAAGTTGGGGGCCAGGATAACTGCATTAGTACTTTGTGTCATTACAATACTTAGCATTTGTTATATCCTAGTGAAGATTAAATTACGGGTAACTTCTGAGAACTATTAATGGACTAATATTATATATATTCCTATTGTATAACTGTTCAGTAGCTAGATTATGTATATCTATATTCCTCTTATTATAAGTTTCATTTTGACCTATAGATCATTATTATACGATTTACTGTTCTTAAGTTATGTTCAGTTCATTGATAACAGTCTCCCATGTTCACAGTCACTCTTTAGCTTGATCTTGTATAAATATTATTTCCTATTTTATGGTGTGATGAGGTCTGTTAGGCTGGTATATAAACCAAGTGTGTTTGGAATAAACACTCTGCACATTGGAAGTCGTTAGTGGCGTTCTGGACTCAACTGGACGGGCTAGGCGAACAAAGGACCAATAGAGAAGCTAGACTGCTCATACCGGTCGAACGTCATTGGTCTAGAACAGTACTAATATTGAATAAGTCGTATTTCGATTAGCGAATAAATCACCCGATAACTAGCTGGCCTTAAAAACAGAAGAGCATCTATTGACAGAATCCGAACTTTTGAAGGATAAAATAAGTGAGAAACCAGTAAGAACTGTTTAGATTGTTCCAAGAAACAGTTCGTCCACTATCTAATCCTTTATTCACACAGCTTCTCCTCTTGATAATAATCTCCCAAACTGTTGGGGACGATAGATCCCCAAAACTCATATTTTGTAATTTCATCTTATCGATTATATGTTAAATATTTGAATGGATGTCGATTGATGAACTTATCGATTAAATGATTAAATAGCAGTCAATTGACGAACTTATCGAATAAATATTTGAATGCCTGTCGATTGATGAACTTATTGATTAATGTTTAGAAACATTTTACTATGACAATATCGATTGTAAATATTTGTATAAATACGCTTGACTTGTGTGCTTGACCTGACCTGGTATCTGCTGTTTGCCTGTAGAATACACTTCCTACGCCTTACAAAGACTTCTTGATCGCGTTAGCTGAGTCGGGGACAACGGACCAGAATAGTCTATCGAGATTCTGAATCCCTTGATCCGATCGATAAGTCACTGCCCTCTAATCGGCGGCCCTTTGAGATATAACACAAACACCGTATGTATTGGAGGTTAATAAAACATACTGTATATCTACGATTGTCTAAATAAGTAGAGAGGTAACTAAACTCTTATATACCTAGATAGCTTCAAGTTCACTTACCAGCCAATTGTGTTAGGTTATCAAGGGGTAATCAGACAATACTAATTATGAAACCTATCAAAAGAATATTAATCCTTACTTCAGGATTGAAGTCCATAAAATTTGAAACAACACGAACATTTTCCAAGGATACACCTGACGATGTCAGAACTGTTTCTATAACATTTCCTATGCCTCCAGAGAATACAATTAGTGGTATGCTGAGTTCAGCCAACTTATTTACAAAATCAGTTGCATTATTCCTAAAATTAGTGTTGCGGTTAAAAATGGACAAAAGAATGAAATTTAAAGAATACATAAATAAGCAAATTTAAGAATGATCAAATTGAAAGCTATCTGAACTTTAATATACTAGTTAACGTCTGGATGGTTTAAAACTTGGGAAACCGAACAACGAATAAATTAACTAAAAAACAAACGTGATATTGTATGTTTGAGAAAGTATTTATTTCGCGATGTGTTTGGGAACATAATTCCACAAACCAAAACACCATAGTTCTTAAACATACCATCGAATGAAAATGTTCAATTAGATAATGAAATGACGCCTCAGTTGACCAAATAGTATCTCTGAATATTAAGTTGTAAATCTAACTAGTAGTGAAAAGTGTGCACAGAGAACATCATATTTTTAGTAAAGCCTAATTAAGAATCTAGTTGGATAGGAAAATCAACTATCAGTAAACTGACATACCGAATTCCAAAATTAAAACTTGTCTCAGAACTTGCTTTAAGATAACCAAGGTAACACAAATAGAGTTTCGCGATATTCTAACCCAACGGACAAACATTTTAGTCTTCCGAATTTATTCACTTTTCGCCATTGCATGTCATATTTGTAGTTGATTTTAAGTTTCAATTACTCTTGTCAATTATTTCGTTTATATTTTTACCTTACAGTACAGCAACCTAAGCAGATGCACTGTTAACCGATTTCTTTGAACGCGAAATTGATGTGGATAGAAAAGTATGTTTTTGTAAGACTATAAATATACTTTCAGTGTACTATTACTTTGGTTTAAAGGTTGATAAGAAAAATGAAGCAGCAAGCTACTCTTTTTATTTACACGATCAAGATATTCTCTGAAATTAATACCGATATCTTCTAAGTTAGATGTTAGTTCTATACGTTACTTTGAATCAAACAATGTCAGTTACTGTGAATAATACTGTAACTAAATTATTCGTAGTACAACATCGCAATTTGTCAACTATGTAAACGATTTCTCAATGTACGTGAACAAGTTAACAGATTTATTGTCAACATAAAAGGATAGGTACGTACTGTACGTTTAAAGGGTTACTTTTTAACATCAAACCGAATAAATCCCAAGATGGACTAAAATAAATGCATTTCTTAGATCAGTCAGTCAGTCAGTAACAACGTAGAACTTCATACGTAAGTACATCAGTTCGAGTTGCCACACCACATTAGCACACAGATGCAGTGGTCGATTCAAATCCCGTAGTGGTAGAGGTAATAAGAGTATAAGCAATAATCGGGAAGATTAGGGTTTGGAGATGTTATTTAAAGAGTATAATCCAGTGAAACAAATTTGGAAAGAGGAAAAAAAGGACATGAAGGATTTAGAAGATTACAATCTGGGAAAACACAGAGAGTGGATGCACCTGCGCCATTGCAAACGATTTTGAGCCATGTCATTCAGGGTCTCTAACCATCGGTTGTTATCATCTCGCGGTCCCCAACCAGCTAGTCTACACCTACCAACATGACTCAGTCCACTTGTCAGTGACTTCATGGACTTGTGCCATGTTTTGGTTTGGCCTCCCCTAGCTTTCTTCCAACCTACTCCTATACCACTGAACATAGCACGTCGAGGCAGTCGGTCGTTGGGCATACGTAACACGTGTCCCAGCCATCTCAGCTGATGAAGTTTCACTACTTCATCAATTAATTTGCCGTTTCTTAGATAAAAGATACCAACTTAACTAACGTTTAGGTCAGTTTTTAAATTGGCGGCTTCTTAGTTCATCGACAACTCGAATGGATCAACGACTTCGGTACAACATTCTGAGGCTTTATGATAAATGTTTCAATCAAGACTGACATACATAAAACCCCATACATGTTTGTGCTTAAAACAGAGATTTATAGCTACGGTATGAATGTTAAATACCACAGCCAACGTTTTTAAGATACTACTAGTCAGAATACAGTAAGTTACAAATGCTTGGAATGTAAAATAGTTATCTTTACTTTTGTGACAAAGAATATCCATGAGAATTCGAACACAGTATCTGGCTTTAATCTTCTAGCTCTTTAGGATCAAGGAGAAATTTGACAGAGTTTAATTATGTCAACCAAGAAAAAAAATAGTATTTATGTGAATGAATAAGTCTTTTTTATTGAGAGGGGCGTGCAGATGCAAGGAAAGAGTATGTGAGCGAACTAATACAGCAAGACGCAACGAATGGAGCGGGTACTGACTTTTATCTTGAGAAATAACACTTTTGAAAGCCCACTCAATATACGTGCTAGTAAACGTTTTAGCCAAGTGAATAAAGGTCAGAAATATCTAGTGAGTTGCGTACTATATATAAATTCTTGTGAGCACTTAAAAAAATATAGATGCACAACTGACTTTTGTGACAACTTAGACGACACTTTTATGTTCATATTTTATTTCATTCAAGCTATTGTTAAACTGATTGTAAGACCTTAATTACTTTTAGTCATCTGTGTCATTAAGAAATTACATTAACTAATGCAGCACCTTCTGCTTGAATGAACTTAGGCAACTTAGATGACTTATACGAATATTCGTCAATATCTGAACGAACAGTTTGGTAGAAATTGAGCGCCAAGTATATAAAATATATTATTTGTAAAAATTATATTTGAAATAATCTAAGAATCTAAAAATTAAATAATCCCAGCATTACGTCCAAAAACCTTACCTGAACGTCGTCACGGTAATAATTAATATTAAAATTATCAAAAAATAAATAACGTCTGACAACCAAACCTAAACTAACAATTTATCAAGACATTCATTTTGTTCGGTAGGAAAATATGAATTAGTAAGATGTGAATAATGTGGAAAGTTATAAATGTGAAAGAGTGAATGTATGTATGTGTACCTTTCTGTTATTACTATTCAATATTTGATAAATCCAACACTTTCCTATAATTAAAGATAGGTTATTCATTTTGTGTATTAAAATAAAAGTAACAGTACAAATTGAAGTGCTTTTAAACGTCAGTGTGTATATAACACGGGAATAAATAGATACTTAGTTGTGATGTTAAAGCATGCATATTAACTTTTGTCAGAATAAAGCTACATGTGACATAATTAAGGTAGATAGAGATAAGGTTCAGTTACTCGTTAATAAACATTGGTTAAGAGCTGACTAGCTAAATTTCATCGTTCTTGTTCAGGTTGTCTTTTTGTTGTTGATTAAATGGCTACTTTTGGAAATCTATTGAACAATGTCTACTACAGAACTCTGATGTAGGGCAAGAGCGCAAAATATGACGGTGATGCAAACCATTTTAACCAAATACCGTTGGCCAAAGTGTTTTAGTTCTTTACACTACTTAGAACCATGCTCATTCATAAACACAGCCACTATCTGAAGTCAACAAACAACAGATGTACTACTACCACTACTATAGTGATTACAAATGTGCATAAGCAGATTTCGGTTCACACGATCAGTTCTCGGAAGATATTGTATTAATTACTATAACAAGTGTTACTGGGTCAGTGGATGTACCAATCTACTGAGAATGAAGAAATCCTTTTTAAAAAGCACTTGACCAAATGCAGAGTGGATACGTTAATTACCAAATGACTAATCTATTTGTTAATTATAAGTTTTTAAATGTCGTATATGTTTTCGCGTACGTAGTGTCGAAACCTACTCCTACGAGCACACACTTGCGTCCCACAGTGTGAAATAGTGATAAAAACGTTAAAAGTCAGGACCGACCTTAGAACTATTCCACCTTCCAAAACACAACCATCAATATCACTTCGAGATACATTCCCGTCAACCAATGCTTTATGGGCCAATTTCCAAAATTCCATCATGAGTGACAACTTCTCGCACTCATATATGCTGCAAGACGTTTCAAGCGGTAAATAAAGGTCCAGAAGCTCTTTGAGCTAGGAAAATAAAAATTGAAGACCTACTTACCCGTAATCTAGATATCTCGGGAATTCTAGGATTTTTCATGAACAATTCTTCCATGTTTACTGTATCATCTCAAACAAACAAGAATTACCATGACAAACAGGAACCTTCTCAGAATTGTGAATGTATTTGGACAATGTGTGATCAAAATCACAAACAACCTCACATTAATATTTACAGAGATTTCTTACTTGCATATTCTCCGGTCCATAACATATGAAATCAACTAGTTTATTCACTATTCTGGGACTAACATGGATCAGACGATGATGTTCAAACTATACGCAGAATATGAAATTATAAGGTTACCATGGATCCTAACGCATTGTAAATATGACTCGCAAGGACATTGCAACCGCATCTGTCCTCCAAGGTCATGAGTTTGGAAGACTGCGAAGGCCATATGTAGTTGTGTGAACTACTAAAAGGACAGTGGAGACAAAATGGTACATGACATCCATCAATATCATGGTAATATTCTACATCTCCTCAGATTATCTTGTATTCTGTTAATTTTTATGGTTTCGTCAATTTATCGTGATTCGTAATAAGTTGATTCAGGTATATCTTGTTCATAGATTCAGTTTCAGTTTGGAAAGCACACGAGGCAAGATGACCTTTAATAGTCATGACAGTGGTGGTCTCTCAGTTGATCTAACTTCCTCTTGAAAGAGTCGTTACTCGTCACGTTGTTTCAGGTATGAATGAACAGTTGGCGTTTCGGGGCACTGTCTGGACACTGTGGGTGGGTCACACAGATAGCGACGAATGCTACCCAATCGGATCCTCTTGTTTCAGCTTCTCGAGATAAATCTCTCATTGTTTGGGACTTAAGGCGAGAATTCGGTGAATATGGAGTACCTGTATGGTCTTTACATGGACACAATCATTTTGTCAGTGACGTGGTTATGTTGTAGTGACTCACATTTATCACGAGAACACGACTGGTTTAATAAAAACAATTATTATTATAACCAACTGTGCCAGTGTTTGTTTTAATGTGTTTTTGTTTGACTGTGCTAATGACAGCTATGTTGTGCTTCCATTCTTATTCTTACACTTTGATTGTGACTTCGCGCGAATTCGGTTACGTTCTGTAACCAAAGTTGTATCCTGGCACGATCTCGGTATCTTTTCGATACCACGAGATCGCCAGCAAATATATCTCGACTTGGTCCACTAACTGCCTTCTGATATTTGGTTTTTCGGGGATTTTATGGATTTATTTGGTTACGTTCAACCTTCGCCTTCTGATTTATTTGGCACGTGTTTCACTGTAGCGGTGTTCATAGTCAATCCCAACTCGACACCACCCTACAATATCATCCGATGTGTTATATGCTTTATCAGGGTTGTGGGATAGAACGTGAATCACGTGTAATGAATTCCACACGCTGATAATTCGATGGGAAAGTTGATAGTCACCTGACGGGTAATTTGCTCTGGGCTTGTGAACATTCTTAGAGTTTCTTCATAAATTCTCTGTTTTGGAAAGCAAGTGTGTTTATCACAAATTGATTTGAAAACTGTAATCAAGGTACATCCACTTCTTCGAGATGACAGTGGAAATAGGTTTGGATTGGCCAGTCGAGTATCATATGGGAGCATCGCTATTTTTGAAATCGGCTTAATTACTGTTCTCTCGGACTTTTCCAAAAGCTCACTGTCTTTGTTTGAGAAGAGGCTAGCCACTCATTTGCAGTATTCAAGTTAAGGACGCACCAACACTGTATATAAAGTCAAAAAAGCTTTGGTGTCGACATGAATAAAAGATATCAAAGTAGGTTAGCATTGACTTGGTGGACATAACCTATTCTTCTGCTGACATGTTCACACCACTCAATCTAGTACATGCTAATATTGGCCTAACAGTCTGAGTTACGTTTGGAGTTGCACAATAACCGATTGGTGACATGGTCAAAATTCGGTCTCAGTAGTAAGGTTGAAGTTATTCTTAATATATTTTGAAATCTTTAGATGAGTATCATTTCATGCTTCTAATTCTTGAATCTATTCTTGTGCAATAACATTTCCGACTGATCTAATATTTCCCATCCAACGTTCATTATTCCGTTGATCTGCTATCACTGTGCTTATCTAAGCTGTTGCAACATTGGTTGACTCTCATTCATGCGACTTTCTACGTCAATGATCACCGAATTACTAGCTTGAATTTCACACTAAGAAGACGTGAAGCATAAAGTGTGAGGGTCATGAATGTTTAATTAATAATGAGTAGTTTGTTAAATATTATCTAATAAAAGTTGATTGAGTGGTAATCTGTGTGCATCACTGATTCGCCATTAGTATCGTGATTATTAACTTCAGTAATGCTAGTGTTGCTCTTAATTTTGTTAAAATCGGTTGACGGTTACTCATATTGTCACGTTTGCCTTATCATTTTACATTATGTTATGTATTTCAATCGAAGCTATTGTATTAAAAACCCAAACTGATGGATGGTACTTGAATGATATTTCAGATCCCAACAAAATCACCAACATTTCATCTTATTTAAAGTAAGCATCCATGTAATCCCGTGGAAGTATGTCACTTAATTAAACATCACTGATCAGCCTCAAGTAATAGAAAAACAGAACTACTAGTGCTGAACATCATACTTGCAAAGAGAACACAGGTCCTTTGATTTATTCATTTTACATTAAAGAAAATTCTTATGATTTTTGGAGATTTTTGTTTTGCTTGATAAAAACTCAGTGTTTACTTCCATTTTGACAACAGGTTGAGTTTGAGTAAGACTATTTCGTTTATACAAATAAATTGTTTTGTTCATGGAAAACTTTATTCCAACAAAAGATAAAATAAATTTGCCTTGGCAATAAAAGTACAAATACATCTGTTTCAAACGAACTATAATCCACTGACATTTCAAATCTTACTACTCAATAATAGTTTAATAACTGGCCAATTGACCAACATATTATTTATGGGAGTATTGTTTATATCATATATATATGCTTCCTGTGAATTTAAGATTTAAATGCAAAACTTGAAAGATGTTTAGTAGATTTTCATAATTTAAATGACCAATTAATCTCAATCACACCACCATTGATAATAAGAAAGGATTGGATAGACTTCTCGTATTGAACTCCTCAGCAGTGAGAACCCACGATGCTGTCGAGGATCGAGCACAAAGCATTCAGTCTTGCACGCCAATCCTCAACGTCCAGATCACTGAGCAGCAATATCATGGTGTACGTGTTTTACTTCAATCACTTTGCGATATTGTGCGACTAGATATCATCGTCTTTGATGAGTAACTACTTCAAGTCGGACTTCACTATTCACGGCTTTTCACTAAAACTCTTAGTGAAGGCTACACACCAAAGATAATGAAATATACATATCACCGCTCTTCGCGAACAACCCTTCAAATTAGAACTCTACTCTATGTAGACGGTTTATTCGTCACAATTTTAGCTTCTTTTTAGATAAAGTCAGCGTGAGTATTGTATTCCAGGAATTCATTAGAATCTCTCCACAGACGGCTAATAGATTATCCTCTTGACATGATGTATGATTTTATATTACTGGTAATCGTATTGACATTACAGGAACACAAATTCTAACAGTTTATACGCCTGATCTAATCTCTTAACTTGCAGCTGTTTGTCATTTTCATCACCAGCTAGAATAATTAGTCCATCTAAATAAATCCAATTAGCTCTGAATAAACTCATTTTTAATTCTTTAAAACATAACCTAATCTTCTTTATATTTATGTGTATAAAATACCTCAACATTATTGTAACACCTTTACATCGACCAAGAATTTCAGTTACACCATGCCAATCACATCAACAAATATGTTTTAAAAGTAAAATTTCTGAACAAATATACTAATTAGTTCAGTTTAAATAATGTAAATAATGAACTAATTAGTAGATGTGTTCAGAAAGTTTATTTTAAAACATATTTGTAGATCTTATGTATATGGTATGACCTGATAACTTCCAATAAATTGAACATTGAATTGATTATTTTTAATAAAAATAACATATTTGTAATATTGAAAAAAATTGTTTATGATAAACAAATTTTAGTTTACACGTTTCTGACGTTTTCGAAGTGGTATAAAGTGTACAATAGAGGTAGTTTGTGTCCGAATTGTGATAACCAGCATTTATAGCATACTAGGAGATGAAATAATTTATTGAAGTAATAATGTTTGATAAAGGCACATGACTAGTGTACTGGTGAACTTACGTTTGCATGTGGTATTCGTAAGCGTGTATTTCCAATTTAATTGGTGTAACGTCAGTGTTTGAGATGAAACATGTTTTTAAAAACTTGTCTTCATGTACCTAGAGAACTCATTGTGACCTGCTCAACAATCATAACATCCCCTAACTGTATAATATCAGTTTGACCAACACAAACTTTTCAGATCACCCTTCAAGACCTATTCAAAATTCAGGGAGTTGGCGGAGTAATTTGATGTAGCTCAGTTTCCTGTGTTCTTTTTGTAGCTACTTAATTTAATTGTTTATGAATAGAACAGCTATTATGTCATAGCTATTTGAATTAATTGACTCTAAGCTTATCATTAGTATGAACTATATTGAGTTTCATTTATGTATGAGTAAGCAATTCTGAAACCATTTAAAATGTATTCCAATATACAGTATATACAATTGAGGAATTCTTTCTGATTATATGTATTCACTTACATTTGTTATTTTAGTCTGGTCAATTAAATATTATCATTAGCTCTAACTTATTCAGCATAACTCAGAACATGTGTTGGTTGCTAACTAATCAACTATTAAGCTTAGTGATTCTCACTGTATTTTGTAAGATACCTATACAAGTAATATTGTGCTTGCGCTATTGTTTTATTTGATTTTCATTTCGACACTGTCCTGTATACTTTGTGACATCAGGTAAAGCATAAGATTAGGCTTTGAAGTAAGAAACTCCGTAGTCTAATTGTAATCAATATAATCTGTACTGATATACATTCAATTTATTAGCAATGTTCGGGTAACCATTGAATAACGATCGGATTCAGTCAAATGTCATTGGATTGTTTGGTTCAAGAACAAATTAATTTAAGGTAAGGAACCTAATTCATAACGTTTATCTTTGTAGGTGTACAAATCATTGTTTTGTTTAATTTCAACGATAAATGAATATATTTTGCTTGATATCATAGTAAAGCACAATTATATGA